CACCTTTGATGCATAAATTAATTAGTTAATTAATCGGAGATCAAAACAAGCTTTTAATTATAGAAATAACTGTTAATTTTATCAGGAAAAGCTTCCTACTAACTACCTAACTATCTTTTCGATAGTTTTCTCTCTTGACTCACATAACGGACCGTTCAATCTCTCACATTCATCCAAATTTGTTTTTATTCACACCAACCCGTTCCACTCGGCTTCATTCCACCCGTCACCTACAGGGAGAAATTATAATTATATAACAGACTCGACCTCATTCACCGAGATCATGAATGATGATGAGGTGATACATCGTTCGGTTCAGGATTTCCGTTTGGTAAGTTCAGTTTCCTTTCTCTGTCTGTGTGTGTGTGCGGCCGCGCGTTTGTGTTTGTCTTTGTTTCATAAATTTTTGTTATTTGGTTCAAGCTCAAAGGCGAACTGACGGACCGGAGTTTGTTGTTGTTTCACCTTCGCAGAATACGATGTGTTTTGTGCCCAAGTCGGGGAGCATTGATTCTCACTCGAACTGACTGTGATTAGGAGTCAGGGGTTCGGCAATACTGAATAAAGAATGTAGGGGATTTTCGTGAGTGATTATCAACGAAGAGCACTAGATCGCTGTTCCATACTTTAGTTGGGAATCATCACAACGCATGCCAATTTTGTCTTTTCGTCGGGGCTAAGACCATGAACCTTGGAGTCGCGAGTCGACTGTCTTATCCTAGACAATCAGCAGCTTGAACCTATGGCTACACTGATTATATATACCACACTAGTAGGTTATCTAATAGTAAAGCAGTTATGGTCACCAACATGTCGCTCCGGAGGACGTGTGTTGGAAATCTATCTCCGCCACCCAACTTTACTCTTCTAGGGAGCACCTAACTGGTTGCAGCCTACTCATTCCCCGAAAGTTGTTTTTACATTGGTATATTCGATAAAAGGAAGTAAAAGTAATATTATTATTATTATTTTTACTTCCAATATTTGATATATACATAAAATATGATTCTTCTTAAAAATATGAATAGTTTAAACCCATCTGCGATGGTTTATCCGCACGTTGAATTTGTGTGTGTGTGCGAATCATGGAAACGTATTCAAGAACTAATTCGTCAATCCCCCCTTCCTCAACTTATTTACCTAACAGTCATTGGATTCTCCCGTGGTTCGTAGAATCATCAATCGTCTTTTGGATAAGTTTCCTGGTGTCCAAAGAGCCACTGTGGAGGAGATGTTTGTCAAAACAGAGTGAGTGTTTCATTTCATCTCCTTGTACTATATGCCTTCTGTTTCGAGAAATTTTCCTCACTTTTTTCTCGTCGATACTGAATTCTATCACATGTGGAACGCAACACTGAAGTTGAGCACGATCTAATTCGGGAATCATTTCGCTGAGGCAGCTGTGTACCTAAGTGACTGAACCCATACAAGCATAGGTCAAATGAGAACGAGTGACATTGAGAGGGTCACACAAACAACTTGTCCGTCAAACCAGTCTCACAGAGTGCCGTTGCTCGTCATCTGCCGTTGAATGGCCACCACGTCGATCGTGAGGCATTGTTCCGGGTTATTTATCCCAAACCCAATGGACGACTGCTAGGATTTGTAGAGGCTATGGTAATTAAGTACCGAAAGCTCCCATAGTGTCCGTCGATTGAGGTCTACATCAGTCTGGTGTTTTTGGGCACACAGAGAGCGTTGTGCAGACGAATGCCCACCTCTTCTGCTGTGACCAACATCCGACAGCGAACCGGCCTCGAAAATCGCCCACGAACTTTGTACAGGGGTCGGAAAGCCTCAGACACGTCCACAGTGTGATTTGTTTCAGCTAGGTGTGAAACCACTGCACTGGTGAGTGACCTAATCTTTCCGGTGTTCAGCCACGCAGGGTGGTGTTCACGAATCCGTTCGGACAATCGCCTGACCGTGCGGCCTATGTGCGTTGTTCCACAGGAACAGGTAAATAAATACACAGAATGAGACCGCAGAGTCCGGAACTTTGTCCTTCAGTCGCAAACACACTTGGCTTGGACGTGAACAACACACAAAGCTTAGATGTATAGAACGTCTTATCGATTGCGTCAGATAATCTTCTTTGTATGATCTCGGCTGATGTTTCCCCTTTGAACGGTAAAGAAATGTACACGGATTTTTTCTTAATCTCTGTGTTTTGTAGAGAGTTTTCCATGCACTGAATCATCTCGTTGACTAAACGCTTCGGATACCCGTTACGTGCAAAGGTTGATTATATGGTACGAAGATCATCTTCTAGCGTGTCCTTACTGCAAATCTTTCTTGCCCTATCCGCTAAGCAACGAACCAAGTTCCTTTTTACCTTCAGTGGCACAAAGCTTCGGAAATGAATTTATTGGTCTTTTCAGGTTGTCCTTCTATGCACCGAACGCTGCACCAAACCATCTGGTCGACGGGTGATGCAGACATCTAGCAACGGCAATTTGTTGTTACACTTCATTTCTAAAGTAAATGTTATATTGGGATGCGCGCTGTTGAACCTGTTTAATAGTTCCGTTTTGTTTGATGTTGCACTGATCACACAATAAATGTCATACGCGTACCGTGTGTTTAGTACAGTCTTCGATGAATGACTGCAATTGAGTGTTTTCAAGTTTCGCCATGAATAAATCCGCGAAAGGCGGTCCCAGCGGAGACCCCATCGCCACGCCATCCTTTTGTCGATAGATCTCATCGTTAAACTTGAATTGAACACTATACGTGAAGAAATAAAGTAGTTTTTTAAGGTCATCCAAAGGGAGGCCGAGCTCTGTATTATTGGTTTGTACATAACTGCACAGGTATTCAATCGTTTCGCTGATGGGAACATTCGTGAACAACGAGCTAACGTCCAGCGAGAGCATTGTTTGATCGACCAAGTTTATGTCTCTGATTTTGTTCACAAAAGCAAATGCATCTTGTCAGACTAACTCGAACGGGTTCTAACAATTTGGCTAACCACTTTGCCAAGGCATGATATGGCGAGTTGCACATATCCAAAATCGGTCGTAATGGTACTCCATCTTTGTGTACTTTTGGCACCATCACGACGAGACTGCACCTTGGCGTGGTGTGATGGCTTGCATGCCTCCATGACTCTGCAAGCTATACAGGATGGCTTTTCACAGCCGTAGATCCAATCATACCTTAAAGGTTAACGGGTAGAGGCCAGACAAAGCTCAGTCTCACAAAGCCAGCTACTTGGGTACCTCCTGGCTTCCTCCTATCCACATTCACCCCTGGAGAGGTCACTCCAGCAAATAAACACGGTGAGGGGCAGTTTATCGGTCAGAAAACCCGCACTAGATGTACGTAGGAGCGAGGTACCTGGGGCTTTCTCTCGACGGTGGGAGAAGTTTTTGCGCTTCATTGGACAGCTGCCGCCCGCCCAAGCTGGGCAGCCCCCAGCCAATAAGGTGCTGTCCCGTCCACGTTCCGCTTGTCTCATTGGGTGCATGGGACTAGGGGCCGATCCCAAAAAGCGGACCGACAATCAACGCACAAGCGAACAACAAACTTAACCGAAATTCAAAGGCCTTGCGTGACAGGTCTCTAGAAGCTCCCACACGGGTGCTTCGTTCACGCTCCCGCGTTGGATTCACCCGCGCCAGTGGCTTGTGGGTCGGACTTTTGAGTCAAAGGCTCCGGTTAGGGTTCCCAAATAAAAACCCCTTCGTCGGTGTGGGCTGCCGCCAAGTATATCGTGCCCTGAAGTCTTAGGCACTCATTTGGAGAACCATCTTTCTCGTCTGTCTAGTTCTCAATTCCAAATGATCCCAGATGGCTCCTGTTTACGCCATCCATCAAATATCAATCAGCTTTTTAGAAACAAAGCCAGACAATCAGAAGTTATAAGATTTTTAAAGCCAAAATCCCCTTTTTACTGAGCCGCGTTCAATGTCCACACACTTTATCAGATCGGTCAACAAGCTAGCCTGGCTAGAACTCTTGAAACTTTCAATTTAGATGTATGTTGTGTCCCCGAAACACGCATACAAGACCCTACTTCCATTATCTCCCTGCGTTCTCCTGATCCAACCTCAACCTCACGTTTCACCCTTCATGTGTCAAGCGATTCGGCATCCGAAGCTCGCGATGTTGCTGGTGTTGGAATTACGCTAAGTCCCAAGGCGCAGCGGTCGATTCTTGACTGGATTCCAGTCAGTGGCCGACTGTGCGCTGTAGGTCTCAACGGTTCAGCACGGTTCAACAGATACAGAACGAAGCATCGATGCTTGTTCGTCATATCGGTGTATGCACCGACCGATTGCAGTACACTTGAAATCAAGGATGAATTCTTTCTCAACTACTCCAAAATGTTCGATCAGCGGACGTCGTAGTAGTCACCGGAGACTTCAATGCTCAAGTGGGGTCCCTGGACGAATCAGAAAGGCTTCCTGGCGGACCGCATGCAATCCCATCCAACCGGACGGACAACGGTGATTGCTTACCTCAACTCTGCGCGGACCGCGGATTATTCTTGTCAAACACGAACTTCTCACACAAGAAACGTCACCGTCTTACATGGAGACCTCCAACCTCTTTACAACGCTGGACCCAGATTGACTACATCGCCATCAGTTACCGCTGGAGAGGATCAATTCAACATTACCTATCTTACTGGTCAACAGCTGTAGATACAGACAACGCCTTGTTACCAGCCGAATTCTCCCTAAGCCTGGCAAACAACCGCAGAAAGGCCACCGGCAACGGATACCCACGATACAGCGTCCGCAGTACCGAGCCTCATTCTAACTGGGGAAGTAATAGAGCAGGTTGATAAGTTTTGTTATCTGGGCAGCTAAATCTCACCCGGTGGACGCATCACGGATGAAGTATCTGCTCGCTTACAAAAGGCTCGATTGGCATTTGCAAACTTGAGACATTTGTGGCGCCGTTGCGACATCCAACTGTTTGTGCAGGGTCGAGTGTATGGTACAACAGTTTGGCCAGTTCTGCTATGCGGCGCAGAAACTTGGCCATTAGGAAAACAGGATAACGATAGACTGTCGATGTTTGAACACCGCTGTCTACGCAGCATTTCACGAATCTAGTGGGCCAGCCGGATGGACAATGTTGAGGTTAGGCGAAAAGTTTTAGGCAATCGCGATCGCCCACTGGAGCAAGTGGTCGATTTCCATAGATTACGCTGGTTGGGGCATGTGTTACGCATGTCTCCAAATAGGTTGCCACGGCCGTCGATGTTCTCCGAGGCAGGTAGTGGGTGGAAGAAAGTCAAGGTTGGTCAAGCTAAGACCTGGCGTGAGAGTATGAAAACCCTGGTCAGGAGTCTGGGTCACATAAGTCTCGTCAGGCTCCCTGACTGGGGATCTCGGGATGATGTTCACCGTTGGTCGGAGACACTGAATGATATGGCTGGGTGTCGTAAACAGTGGTGTTCTTGCATCTTTTCAATTTCTTTGCGAACTTAGTTTACTGAACGTCTCCATTTTCTGTTTGACGCTACCGTTAACTTTCCTGTCTTATTTTATTATCCATCCAAATGGGCACCAGAAGACAGCAACCAAAACCGGCGCATAAAAGTGCGTGGTTAATGGTTGTTCAAAATGAAAACTGAACTGTACTTTTGGCAATCCATACAACGTCAGAATAGCAGTCCCGGTCGGCCTAATGCGCTTGAAAATGAATGCGTCATTGACTTCACTCTGTTTTAAGCATCGCAAAATTTTAGAAGACGCCCCTTCTATTTGAGCCGTCTTATCCTTTTCCGTCGACTTGGTAAATTTTGACCAATCACTCAATATGATATTCATCTTGTTTATGTAGTCCATTCGATGTAACAGCACCATCCCCGTTCCCTTATCCGGTCTGGATAGTATAACATCTTTATTTTTCTGAATTTCTAGTAATCGTCTGATGTGTTTGGTAGTTACTAATTCATTTGAATTCAGCTTGACATTCTGATGCTGGTATCAAGCATTCACCAAGGTGGATTTGAGCCTTTCCCACTCCAACGATGAAGAGGGAACCAGGCCAGAAATTTGCGCGTATTGGGTTTTCCAAATACCACCTTCATATCCCTGTGTGGCTGAGAAGCGGCATAATTCAATCAATCACAACTGCAGTCGTGTCGCACCTTTCCGACGATAATCGCATCGTAAATGTGACCGAAGAGTTTCGAACGCTTTAGAGAATGAAAACCGGACGGTCTGGCCATATGCGGTTTCGACTTCTAGCCACCCATCCTCCCTTGATTGGATTGTCTACAAACAATCTGTCATGAACAATTTGAGCAAATGATAACTGGGTGCCACCTATGATACAAATTATTGCGTTCCTCCCACTAGATTTGGAATTATCTCCGTTCAAACATGCGTGATCATCATTGGACGGATTTGCATCGAAACGTAGGACGAATTCACCGTTCGTTTTGAAATGATTGCCATCTGTTACGCATTTGGACAATATGTCCTCCCACTTCTGAAGGTAGAGTTACGCTCCGCTCAACTGGAAGTACTAAAATTCATTGTGGTTTTTTTGAGATGTGGTAAATTTTGTTCGACCCAGCTTTGTTATCGAAGGAGGGTAGTCCCATGAGTTATGTAACGGCACATCAGTCGCACGTCTAACTGAGTTCGAATTAACTTCATCCAATACTCGAGTTATACGATGTTAAACATGATTAGCATCAGTTCATTTTTCAAGTCGATAGGAGCGTGCTGGGTTACCAGAATCCTTAACGCAAATCGGAAGATTGTAAAATAATTGAATTCATCGTTTTGAAAAGGACGGCAATTGCGGATGGGATTATACTATGGTCATATGACGAAAGATCAAAGAATAAATGGACTGGCTTCTGTTGAGAGTGGCAAAGAACACTCACTTTCTTCTGAACCATAGCCACTACACCAATGAATTCTCTCTCTCTCGATCGGCCTGCTCACCAGATCCCGATTCGATTGAGATGATTTGGAACTTTACTGGTAGAGAAGTGAACAACAGTGATACTCCATACCTCAAGAAAGAGAAGACTGTATCCAAACAGTCATCGTCAGCATAACTTTGAAAGTCGATGGAGTAATCAAAAGTAGATTTAGAAGTACAAGTGACTGCCAAGCAGCTAGATTGCTACTCTGAATGAATAAAGCGAATTCGGGGGCTATGGCCGATCTTCATGGTGTTGACACTTATACCTCGTGAATAGGGAATCTTTTCTTGTTCCTATTTGTATTTGTACATTTTCTTCCTTTCCATTGGTTTGTTCCCCCCACCCTCCCTTTATTTCCACACACTGACAGCTTCAACGAATCCGACACAGAGAATCGGCTTCGATCACTGTTTCCATGTTCCCAACCCAGTGAAACCGAGAGTCAGATAAGTGCTAGCATAAACCCCACCAGGATAACGGTCACGAATCCATCTGCATCGGAACCAGGTCTCAGTCTACAGGAGATACAAGAAGAGGAAGAGGCGTTGCGACGTTCAGTGGAAGATCAGCGCAGTGTGAGTTCCGTTCTGTTGTTTATCGTTGTGTATACATGCTCACATAGATATGTGCTTATTTAGATTCTGTCAATAATGGTTCATTATTTTATTGTGGAACTTTGAGTAATGTGAGATAGTAATGTTCCGATTTACCTTCGCGCAGGACGCTGACAGACTCATTCCAGTTGCTTTTTATACCATTAATAATTGTGCCATTTCCTTTTTATTTGATTGATGTACAATTGTTCAGTCGGTTTTATGGAGGGAGACAAGTTAAGAGTTCCTGGGAACATAAATAAAGGTTTGGGGCAGGTAAGCGTAGGTGGAGGTGGTGAGATTCGAACAAACGGCCTGGTGGTCACTTAGATGATTACCTTAACCTTTAGACCACCGCCGTTCATGGGTCATTTTTGACCCGCAATCGAGCTCTCACAGATGTAATATCAATAACTCATGTTTCTCTGACTCTTCAGGAATATCCATATTGATGGATTATTTAACCACAAAGCTAACGTGTTTTCTAGAAATAGTTTATGGCCCACGGTCGCATATAAAGTTCGTTACCCTGCTGTACACATTTATGGCATTATTTCTGCTCCTTCCAGAAACTGCAATCACTGGCCAATCAACTTTCTCTCTGTCGACTCAAGTCTCAATTTCCTGATATCCAGCTGGTCGAACTAGAGAACTTGTTAATTCGTTTTGAGTAAGTGGTGTATATTGGGGAAGAAACCCACGTTATGCTCTTTTGTTTCACTAATTCTATCGGCAGAAAATCGTCTCGACAACTCAGTATCTCTCATTAGGTTACCAAAACTATGAATAAAATGGCAAGTGATACGTAATCCTATAGACCTTTGAGTTTATTATGTCAATCCGTTTATCGCATTCTGAAACCGTTTTGGGTTATCTGTGCTGACTTCTCAAACTTCTCAATCTATTTAATCTACGTAACAAGAGTAGTTGTGTTTCTTATTCGACAGCATGTTTTCATCTGATCGATGAGTTTATTTTGTTGCTTTCTGTCATCTTATCCATGGTTGTAGGAACAAAATTGTCCCAGTTTTTTCTATGTTTCATTCGTATATATAAATTTTTGTCATGGTGTAACCGTACTACACTACTCTCCACATGTACGATGCGTACAGTCTTATTTCGCTATTTTAGCGCACACTATCATCCTTCCGAATTTAGTTTTCATTGAAGTTTACTACTTATGAGTAATAAAGTTCTGAAACATTCCGAGAGAAATGTTCGTGTGCATACGTGGAATAGCTTGAAGTTTCAAATGAAGGACAGTGTAACGGAAGGGGTTCATGGTTATGGTTTAAATCATGAGTCGATGTAGCAAGAGAAGCAGACATACTCTCTATTGTATGCAGATAATTATTTTTACGGTAAGTTTGTACTATTTAGATCCATTTTTTTGGACTTGCGTTATTTTGGGGCCTTTAGAAACGGTATGGGGTTGCGGTTTGTTACCCTATGTCTCATTGCTGGAAAACAAATTTTATATAGACATCCAAATTATATTAATAAAATTAATAACTGTTCTGCCAGCAGTCCTTATTCCGTATTCCGATCTGAGTGTTTTGCCGGCACATCATTTAGTTACGTTTATTTGGGTTGGATAATTTTCTCATTTCCGAATATTACAAATGAGTGTCGTAGCAATGATCGTTCCTGTACTCAAACAAAATAAAATCACACGCGACCCCGTCCGAACTCGAAGACTTCGGGGAATAATTTGAGATACATTGCAGTAGTTCATGGGGAGGTGTCACCGAAGATATCGTTTGTTGGCCGTGAGCTTTCCACGCAGATGAAGAACTGATCATAGCCGAGTACTCCAATTAGGCTGAATTTCGATTACATGAGCGCTTTCTTTCTTTCATCAGTTACGTTCTATGAGGATTTTGCGAGCTGCAGGGAGCGTGTACAAGGTCCAGTCTTTTCACTTTGTGTCACAGCTGCACACGTTAACAGCACAATGGATAATTGACCAGCTTGAGGAACCCCTCCGTTTTGTATTGCATTAAACAACACTGAACTGTTTCATTTGCTCGAGAAAAGTCATCGCGCTTGTTTATGTCGAAGGTCACTATAACGCCGCAGAACAATTGACATGGATATGATTGACTCCTGGCGCCCTGTTTCGATAGTGAAACTGACCCGTGCGCCCTGAGACGATCACAAATATCTGGCGCATCCTGTTTTGGTTCGTCCACATTAGTCATATGACAGTTTTTCTTTTTCTGTATATCTTTCAAATTTGTTCACAGTTCCCCACTTGTTTGTCTCATAAGTTATGTTGACCTCCGACAGTAAATTCTCCCATCCCGATTATCTCCTCGTACCCGCAGTTTGAATGAACAAGAACTGGTGAAACATCTTGTCGATCGGGGCTTTTCCTGTCGACCGGTTGCACCATTGATCCCCGCCACAGAGGATACCGAACGAGATTTGACTCCATCGTTTGATTCAATGCGACTGTCACAGGCCTCGACCGATCTGGCCGTATTGAACGCGCAACTCAGTGTGATTCGTGGAAGAATTGGCGAGATTCGTCAACGTTTGTTCAAGCGCGTGGAGAAGGGAGTCGCAAGTTACTATTCGGATGAGGTGTGTACTGGAAATTCGTTCTTTCCATTCGGACACTGTCCCTAGGTTTTTACATCATTACTTAGGCACGTCATATTGATCCGAACCCTTGCATGATGTTTCTAATAGCAATACAGGGAAGTTCGTTGTTGTAAGTTGTGCAAGTAAAACGTGAATTGAAAAGCCGAGAAGCATTATATGGCTGTTTCGACCTGTTTGGGACTCATCAGCAGTGCAAACCCATCCACCTAAGTGGGGATCGAACCCGGGACCTCTTAGGTCGAACGTAAGCAGTCTTGTTTTGTATTCTCTCAACCGTCTATGGCTATACTCATCCTTGTGGAATTGTTTTTCAGTCCACTTTTCAGTACTGAAAATGCATCAAACATGAAACAAAATGAGCTCACTGGGTCAATAAACGACTGAACTGCCTCCGTTGTTACCTTTGAGTTCAGTTTCTGTCACAGAGCTACACGCGTTCTGGTTTTGACAGGATCTGGTCCCATCGTTTCCCGATCATTTGGTTGTGTCCTCACCAGGTATCACATTGGGTCATATATAAACGCTATCACTAACCGAATAAACATGACAATTCCGAGTGTGAACATAAATGTCCAGACCGAGTCACACCGAGGGCATCAGAAGCCGCGCGATAACCCTGAGCCCAATGGTAACGCAAGGAACAGATCAATTATTTGAAGGTATATTATTGTGTTCGTCACATTGCAAGCCGGATGCAATTTCAGTGAGGATAGCGCTATTCCGGTTGAGACGATACGCAAACAGGATGAGAAAGGATGTGGAAAATAAAGCCGATAAAAATCACATAATGCTGAGCAATGAAAGGAAACCTTGTCGATCTGGAACTCCGATTCAAACACACACACACACTATACATCTGAATTTGAGGTGAATATTGCATTCAAATGCATTATCTCGTGGGGAATTAACGACTTCCCAAGGAATGAAATCCACACCCAAGAACATCAAGAGTGCCCGGTGCCTCTGAACAATCGAATTGGCTAATCCCAGCTTGATACTCCAGTACTATATTAAAGTTCAGTCAATCTTTGATTGGTTATTGATTGGCCAAACATTATGGCAGTAGGTTCACAAACTCAACTCTCTCATTTCAAATTTTGGTCAACTGGTTTGCAAGTGTCCGGCGCGTACCAAATAATTTGAAACTTCACTGTTCTGATTGACTGTGTGGAAGGTGTATAGCATGGTGTGTTCATAAGACCTTTCGATCTTGCTGCAC